GACTGACAACATGATCTCGTATGACCTTCATAAATCAAATCAAGTTACACGAATCAAGTTACCACACAATTATCGTACAAATCCGTTCGAACCGTTTTGAGTGCGAGAATTGCCATTCGAGTTCAGTGATTACTGCGGTATTATTGACTATGAATATATCAAAATGACGCGATTACATTTTTAAAATTTTTATTTTTAATTTTTATAACATTTCTTAACCCTTTTTTTTCTTATCGAGTTCAAACTTTATAGTTTGTAAGCCCTTTTGGAGTTCCTTTTCCTCTTTTATTAATCTCTTACAATAAATCTCTTTTCTGCATTCTCATTTCGCTAGGCTACTTACTAATGTTACGTACTTAAAAGGAATTAATTTTTATAACTCACCCTTTGGATCGAAATCGAGTCTTTGAATGCAGTATTGCTGGCTTTTATTAATATACGTTTTTTTTTAAAAAAAAACCAAATTGTGTAATTCCACAAAAGTTTGCGGAATTACATCTATTTTCCTATTTTATCCCCTAATTTGCTACCCGTAGATGTGGAATATTTTTTATAAATTTAAATGGGACTAATACTGAAGTACCCTCTTTCCAACAATAAAAGAATCATCAAAATCGGTTCACAAAAGCCGGGGTAATCGCGTAACATACACACACACACACAAATAATAATAATAATAATAACGCATACACTCAACAAGCGGGTGCCATGGACACAAACATAGACAACCACAAATTACACCCAAACTTACGAGAGAAATAAATGTAGGCCATACAAATATTTCTCCCGGCCCGGGAATCGAACCTGGGACCTCTGCGTGGCATGGTAACCGTTGGGCCACGGAGACAGTTAAATAAATAAAAAAAAATAAAAAATAAAAATATTTTATTTTCAGACACCATAGGTCCATGGTTTGTTAGTAAGCAACCTTATACTATATTAGTAACAAATGACTGTATGGTGAATTTATGGTGTATTGTATATGAAGTGTACATTAAAATTTTTAAAATCGAAATGTCAAAATTTTCAAAATACGTAATATAAAAGTCTGAAATAATAATGATAATTTAGTCGAAAGTAAAAATTTAAAAATACTAAAATTTACAATTAATAAAATGACAATTAAAATTAAAATTAGCTAATAAAATAACAATAAGTAACATGAACAAAACTAAAATTTTAGAAATCACATGTCACAGAGAAATCCATGACATTACAACTACTATTACAATTACTACTACTTACTTAGTCACTATTTTTGTGTGCGAGATGCATCTACCTACACAATGTGATATGATCGGGGAATCATGTCGACCTATTACCCATAGGATGGAATTGGAACTACCCCGTAGTCTGCAGAGCAGCGAGGCCGTTTTCTTTCGCATGATGGCATTAAACTCATCTATAATAGCCTGCGCAAACATGCATAACGCGCTGCAGAATTGGGGCAGCCCCAGCAACACCCTAAAGGCATTGTTGTACTGAATCCGCAGCGCGCCGAGGGTCCGCTGCGTGTGGTTGATCCACAGGGCGCACTTGTAGAACACCTGACAGTAGGCTCTAAACAATGTTAGTTTTACAAGGACACTACAGCGCGCAGTTAAATATAATAAATAAATTCAGTCGAATTGAGAACGTCCGCCTTTTTTTAAATAATAATAATAATAAAATTTTATTTATTGAGACAACTGAGATCCAATCAAATGTTAGTAGGTACAGACTTAAAACTATATTAGTACTTATATTTTACCAGGGATTGTGTATTATGTATTAAGTGCCGCATAATTCGGCACTCATTCCTGTCAGCAACTGTCTTCAGGAGGCTATTGGGGCTGTCACGTATTCTCTTCAGTAGCGACGCCGACTTTTTACGTACAACAGCCGTAAAACTGTCTACGCGCGCGTCAGTGAACATGGCTGAGGCACTGCAGAAACGTGACAGCCCCAACAGCGTCCTGAAGGCGTTGTTGTATTGCACGCACAGAGCATTCCGAGAGCACTGAGTGTATTCCAAGTTATATGGCTCCGAAAATTTGTTCGCCCACCTTACAACATTCGTTTGATTCCGGTACCAATACCTAAAAGCGTTCGTTAGCTCCACAGGCATACCTGTGGCACTTAGTTTAAAGTCAGTTAAAAATGAATTAAGGCCTCTTTGAAGCAAACTATCCTATCTACAATATTTAAAATATCCTCGCCTTATTTTCTCAAACTCGTATCTTATAAAGAGTGATTATTCAAGACATGGCAAAAATGTATATTTATGTTAAATTTCTTATCAAGGGTCTTAATTTGGATGCATTACTTTAACGTGCATTTTTGCATTTCAGTTACTTTGTGCTTTAAGATACGAGCTTGAGAAAGTACGGCGACGATATATTCCCTCTGTATCGCATAGTCGTGAGACGCTCTGCATCTTTTTTGTAACATCTTTCTCATCTGTTTCTCTTGCCTTAGGTAATCTTCTGCGGCGGCGGCGTAAGCGGTGTCGGAGGAGTCAGTGGCGTAGCCGGTGCTGCGCCTGTTATCACATCTGTTCTACCCGCAGGGGGGGCGGTTTTGACCCCCCACCATGCGTTACATCAGTAAATTATAATCATCGTGTTCTACAAGGATGTGACTAAGTTAATTATTGAAATATTACTCCTATCACATAGTCTATGGCCAACGGGGGTCACATAGACCCCCAACTATAAATGGTTTTTATTTCACTTCCACTTGTTGTAAGGAAATTAATCATTAACACAAGGATGTGACTAAATAAAAATGTTGGGTGTTTAGAATGGGGGTCACACAGACCCCTACACTATAAAATCGATGATTGGCTTTTCTTTTATCACGGCCCGCATAGAAAGGACTAAGGATTATTCCACGGCCCTGTTTTTTCGGATCTAAACCGTTTATATTTGTTTATCAAACAAGTCAACTGTAACCACGTGACATGGAAAAAGCCCGAAACGTTGGTTAGTTTAATAAAAAATGCTTAAGTTCAATGTGTAATAATAGCTTTTGTTACCTGTACACACGGAAGAAATAAAACAATGGAAGTGCCTTGAGCCTCGATTATTATCAGTTGCCGCAAGTCACATATTCATAAGTTGAAACACTATGAATTTTGATAATTATTGGTCATAGTTTATAATTGAAAAACAAATAACAAATTCTGTGCTGTTAATATAATTTAAACTTAACCCAATGTTGGCATATTGTTGAAAAATCAATACTTATTATTGCACGTTGAATGAAACTTCAATCAATGTGCTGCCATCTAGCGGTCAATAGCTGAACGAAGACGAATTCTAGATGTTTACTTAGTACTCCAAAAAATAGGCGACCATATTGCAGCGGTATAAGGTTAACTTCAGTTTCTTGTAACAAAAAAATATTACGTTAAATAGAAAAGACATTAGGCAACACCATCATAGATCATTATTGCACTCCAAAGTAACAAAATAAGGCATTTTTCTATGATTTTCGAGGTTTTGCGCGAGATAATTCACACTGTCATAACGTACAAAGCAAAAGTGGCGGACCGAGGTTATAGTCGTCACAAAATAAGAGGCAACTTTTGACACTTGTTATCGCAACGTAAATAGGTATGTGAACTAAACATATCGGAAACAATATGAAACAATTCTCACGAGAAATCGATTCGAAATTTTGTAGTATATTATATTATATATATATATTTAGTATATTATTATTATATTTATTTCTTCTTTAAACATAATAAGATAATAATTGTTTGTTTACTGTTTCGTTGATTGCATTCAAAGTTACGTACGCTTTCTTTAGTTGTCAAATGTGGCCTCTTACATTGTGACAACTATATATGTGGAACTCCGCGTATGCACGCAAACTAAGCACTTCTACTGTATTTATTGTTCTGTGCTCGTACATAACCAAATTACAGCACTGGGAGAGGAAAAATGATTCCTACTACAAACTAAATCCCATATGACGGACCGGTAATATACGAGGGAAAAAACTTTGTATGAAAGAATTTGATTGAATTATTATATAATACAATAAGATGAGCAGCAATACCCGCCTGTTCGGCACGTCACTCTACCGCGTTGTACATACCTACTTAGTTTGTAATAGTACATTGTGTATTAGGGGCGGTAAATAAGGAATTCCTAACGAGACTCTCATTAGAAGCCCGAAGTCGAACACTGAGGGTTTTCGGAGTCGGGCCTCGTAATTCCCGTACCGCTCGTTGAAACATATAATATTTTTCATCACAATTGCACGTAAATAGTTGCACGCAAGGCTGTAATGAGAAGAAAAAAGACCCGAGGCTTTAAGTTAGCCTGTATTCAATCATATTATTTATAATATAATATAATTTGAAAACAATTAAGGTATTCTCTTAGTACTCTCTAAAATAATCTTTGTCAAATTCAGTACATACGTATTGATATTTTTATACCAGCTTCGCGGATTGGTATCTCGATTATGGGAGTATGGTTGTTCAAACAACCATAAACACCGAGTGAACGCTAGAAATCTACAATAAATATATTTCAGTTGGAAGTGTGGTATACTATAGTTCGATTTTATCAGAATTACAAAAAATGTAATCAAAGAATCAGTGTTCGTAAACAGGAAAATATCGTGAGAACTGATGACTTACAAATGACACTATGTTATGTTATTATTTTGTATAAAAAATCGGTTTAACATTTGGAACTTCTTGTTTTTTTTAAGTTTTTTACAGCGAAACTCTTTGAAATAGAGGAAGTATGCAATACAACATAATAGTTACACAAAGGTGGTAAATATGTTAGAGACATTTTGCTTTGATTAAAAAATGACTGAATAAAATGTCCTGATAAAAGACACAAAATTTCCTTCTATTTAATAGAAGGAAGTATAGAGTAGTAAAGAATTGTCGAATCTGGATCACTTGAAAACCAATGTAACAAAATCTCTTGGATATATATCAAGTGGTCCATATTCAACATTTCTTCGCTACCCACAGGGCCCCAAGTCTGCTATTATAATATCATCATTCATCCCTGTCGTGTGTAGATAAGACTGTCAGTAGCAGATATGTACGTTTGGTATTCTACTAAAGATTAGTGGCTAGCATCAAGGTAGTATTCAACTGCCATTGCAATTTTTCGATATTTTTCTTTTCAATGTCGAGTCGATGGCACATCGATGGTGTAGTCTGCTTATATGATATAAAGGGTGACTTTTTATCAGTTGACAAATTGCTACGCATTAAGTCAAACAAAAAAAATCAATAATGTTTTTATTTCAAGACACAATTTTTACAATTTTGGTGGCTTGAGAATCTCTTTTAAGTAGTAAATTATACTTGTGCTAGGGATTCCCGCTCTTCATTAGGTATTAATTTAGGTCAAATTTTCACAATGAAATTATTTCCCTAATATATCAATCGATGTGAATTGAGCGCGCTAGCGAGTGAAAGGAAAATGAATGCCGGCCGCTCCGACACGTGGCGCGCGATTCTCTTTCCCTCTGCACCCGGGGGTGTACTTTCTATCATCGGCTCCACTATCGTGGTGTTTTTGATTAGGTAACCAAACATCGATTATTATAATTTTAATGTGAAACTTTGCTCCATTTGTTTTTCAGAAATGGAGCCTTTGACTGATAACTAATGCGTTGAAAAAATTTTACTACTGATAAAAAAGTCAAGCTGTATATTTAATTTGAAAACTAAATTACTAAAAAAACCAAATAGGTATGAAATTAGATGTGCATAGTAATTTCCGTGGTAATTTTAATAGGCAACATCGATTTTTATTGAATGAACGAATGAACGTCATCACTGCCATTCCATTTACACTCTTATTGAGAATAATAAATATTGTCATAATTGCAATATAATTTCAATGGAGTTTCAATTGAAATACTATAATATATAATGATTTGAATTAGACAAGTAACAGAAATCTAATTCTGAGGTTCGACCCCCCAAAAACGAACTTAAAGGTGTCATATTCCTCCAGTTGGATTATATGTTGGCCAATACTTCATATTGTTAACGTGTAACAAAAGGCAAAGAGTCGTTCTAAGAAAAGTCTGAGTAAATAAAGAATAATAAGTATTAAAGGTGACCACCTATATACCCGTACAGCACGCTTCCTGTACTCCTAGTTATGTTGTACTTTACTTGCGTCAAACTTTAATATCTTAGCATGTAGTCGTAAGTAGAGATGCCATAAATAGTGATTTGGCCGAATTCCGAATATTACGACCTGTTACGGCCTGTGTCATTGACCTGCGTGCGGAGGTAACGGGGATGGGGTGTTTTTGTTGAAAAATTATGAAACGATAGAATCAATACATGACAGTTTCGGGACCTGTTTTGAAGAAGTCGCCACAGATAATATGCAAAATGATGAGGATGTGTAGAAAAGTTCTATTGCACATGAGAATGATTTTTATTGAAAACTGTTCGTCTAGATCGGATGGCAGAACCAGATAAGTGGTGGTCAGCAAACGCAAAGCAGTATCCAAGCCTGTCATTGCCATTTATCTATCGTCTCCTGCCAGGAGTGTTTATAGTGAGAGGCTAGTTTCAAAAGCAGGAATTGTTTATGAGGGAAAGCGCAGTCACTTGTTACCAACCAATGCAGAAAAATTGTTTTCATTCAACACAATTTGCTACTGATTGATTTTAAGTATTAAAGCAATAATTTGCTGTTTTTGATATTCGGTATTCGGCCGAATAGTCGTAGTATTCGTCCGAATACCGAGTATTCAAAAAAGTGGCCGAATAGGCCGAATACCGAATAGTAGCCGAATATTCGTGGCATCTCTAGTCGTAACACCTTATTTTTTTTCCACATTGTTATCTACAATGCATTATTATCTGTACTGGTAGTGCTACGCATTCCGCGTCAGGGTATCATCATGTCATAGACCACTGTTATTTTTGCGTTGTCCCTTAAAGTTAGTTACTCGATAATCGAGTATATAACCAGAAATAGGCCGTATATTCCTGATAACTCATCAGTCAGATATATCACTTATTAATGCCCTCGTTTGCACTGAAATAACAAATTAGAAAGCTGAAATAGTACAGCGTCAACAACTGACCTGTGCGTACGTCTCCGTATATTCCAAAAATATTCTGCAATAAAGATAACATCTCTAACAATGGCGTGCTGTTCCATTCGGTGGTGTGGGGAAAAACAGCAAAACATCTAATTACAAAACAATCTGAATCAAATTTCATCGGTAATTAAATGTTAAGTATGTAATTTTTTAATTTTCGTCCATTATAGCAAGGCTCAAGTAAATTGGTCGATTTGAAGTGAAACGATTGACGGCACCCATTGATGACACCCGTCAATTGTTTCGAATTCGGGCTGGCCAATCGGAGCGCAGTTGTCGCAGTAATGATATGGCAGAATAGTTTTTAAACAAATTAAATGACAATTCGTCTATTTCTGGTTATATACTCTACTACTAATAAAAGCAGTCGCATGTAGTTTCAGTGATAGCTTGTTAACAAGTTAGATGGTAACCACGCAATGGTATCAGTGGTCGTAAGCCGATACTTAAGAGTCTATACAACCTTAAATGGCTTTGTTTGATTTCGCATAACAGTGAAACTTTGGAACAAACATATCACACTGTTAATACAATAGTGTACTAACTCAAAAAGTGTATTTCTTTCAAAATCTATGAAAAACAAATTACTCATTTCCCGTGAAAGATTATTAAAATTTATGTAGGGTAGCCTGGTCTAAGATGACGCATCCGATAAGAGTACGCAAGGTAGATTGCCGAGAAGTTATTTACAATACGCAACTAAGTTCAGTGTGATTTTGTAGTGCTAGGAAGTGGAGATTGTTGTGCTTGAAAAATATAAAAAATTATTGAAAACCAAGAAACTACTCAAGTCTGAACACTTTGATATATTTGCATAAAACATTTGGTATTTTCAAATTGTTACTGTGACTAAACTAAGCACATTATTTTAAAACTGACTTTTTATGAAATCGCCCAAAAACGTCTAGAGGTCAAACTGCAAACGATTGTGGGCACTTCCAACATATGGGTTTAGTAGCAGTTTTATTCTGAAATGGCTGAAGTGTGCAAGAGTACGCAACTCGACGTGTTACGTCACATATAGAGTACGCGCATATAGAGTAGTCTCATACCATTTTTTTTAGAATAGTGTACTTCTGAATAAAATTTCTGTCGCTGTGCCTCGTTCTATATCAACTAAAAACTTTTTGCGAGAGTCTAGTATTTTTAAAAGTATAACAGACCTGAGGCATGTGCTCCGAATGTCTCTGAAATATCGGCTGCAAGTGCGCTTGAAGCACCACCACCGCTCTAACTGAGGTATGTCCGTGTCACAAGTAGACTCTTCTCAGCTCTCCATGAGCAAAGGCCCATGCATATAGAGACAATAAATCATATTACCGGAAAGGTATGGAGGTGATTCGACCCGTTTCAACCGATAAACGAAGTCCTATCAAAAAAGGTGTTGCGTACCTACTCTTGCCGACCCACATGAGTACTCTTACCCATAGTACAGTGTAAGAGTACGCGAATCCCATTTTGCACTTTTTTATCAATTACAACCACACTATTAAATATAACTACT